TCACCCCTCCCCCCTTCATATTTATGCATTGCTCTTGTTACCTTCCCCCTTCCCCCTCTCAAGTCAACAAAGCTGTATGGCTCTCAACAAAGTTGCATGCTTCAGTGCTTTTCTTTTTCTTTTTTCCTGTCTTAATTTTGACCGTAATCTTGGGCCAAATTTGTCCGTCTTTATGTTTAGGGAAAAAAAAAAACCCAAAATGTGGGGTGGTGAAAGTATAATGAGTTCTTTATAAAAAAATAAAAAAAAAAAGGGTATGAGTGTCAAATTTTCGTTGTCTGGATTCACTATAGAAATAAATGCTAAAGAGTTCCGGACTGTGAATTTCATTTTTTTTTTGTTTTTCCTAATTTATGGCCTTGCTATTTCTTTATCAAAAAGAAAAAAAAAAGGGATATTGGGTTTGTGATTATCCCTAATTAGTATTGATGGTTAGAGAATTTTTACGGTGGTGGTTTGTAATTGCCGTGCAGAGCATTGTGTTTGAGAATTTCAACGTACAAGCAGGGATGGATAGGACCGGGGTACCAACGGATATGTTGACTTTGAATTCAACAGTGAAAATATTCTTCAGAAATCCAGCGACTTTCTTCGGCGTACACGTCACTGCCACACCTCTTCAACTTTACTATTACGACCTCAAGGTTGCTTCTGGTCTGGTAAGTGGTAAAGCCCCATCCCCCTTCTCCCCCTTCTCCCATTGATTTTCTCTCTTTCTACATCAACTGCCTGTGATTTTCTTTTCTTCAAGAGTAATTGGGCTAGCTTTCTCAGTTTTTTTTTTTTTATAATTTGTTGGGTGGAATTAATTAGTGCCAACTACTACTTCTTAGTTAGGCTTAGGGTTGGTGGGTCATCAATGTACACACACACACACATTACACTACTGTTTCTCCCACATCTATTTTTTGGTTGGAGGGGAAGGAAGGAGCCCAACTGAGCTTGAGCTTGTATGGGAATTGAGAGTGAAATGAAATATATTTTGTTTTGAACCAAGGATTAAGGAGGGGAGTAGTCCACAAGACTTCCTTTCTTGTAAGGGATAATTTCAGAAACCTCAGGAGACAATTTCACTCACCTCACTTCAGGTTTGAATGAATAATTACACTAACCTCCCTTCATGTAGTAAAATGATTATAATATCCTTCACTTATAAATAATTCTTACAAATAAAAAAAATTCTATAATTACAACTAGTCTTTTATTCTAAGATAACTGCTGCAACACAAACTAAACTTTTGTTCTATCCCTCCGACTCTTTCTCTTACCTTCTTTCTTCTACATCTTTTTTTTTTCGCAAATAGACACACTTTCCCTTTTTTGTTTTCTTTTTTTTCATAAGTATTATTGAATTGAAATTACAAAATGATAAGTTGCCGGATCATATTTGTTGTCAAACTAAATGAAAGTGAAAAAGACGGCGGTGATACAGAGCACATATAAGAAAATAAAAATGATAGCTAAAAAGGGTTTGTGAATTAAAGAATGTTACGATATTATATCAATTGTGTAAAAAAGAATTTTGAGATATAAAAACTATAATCAGATTTGCCTAGAGACATGGGATGTGGTCTCTAGTATTGCTTTTGGTTGCTCCGTGTTGATATTTTTGGTAGGTTACATTATTTTAGTAACAACAAGGTTGAATAGTGACATTGATCAATTTAAACATTGAATTTAGGCAAAAAAAAAAAAAAAGAGGCTAAATACTACGTTGAATGCAGACTTTAATTATCACAGTTGATTTGCATGGGAAGCTTTGGAGCGGCAATAGTAGGATGTCAAAATTGTAAGAATATGGGAATTAAGGTAAAATGGTTTATTAAGTTCGTTAAAGTGGTGGTTATGTCGTTTATAATAGTTGCAATGTGAAAGAAATTTATTAATTTGTTTTTTCCCCTTCTAAGTAACAAAGGGATATTTTAGGATTTTTGAGGAGAAAGTTAGCATATCGGGTCTATATTGTAATTGAAATGCTAATCATAAGGAAGGTAGGTGTAATTTTTTATACTAGAAAGGAGCTTCCTGCAATAGTTAGAAACCTCAATTATCCCTTCGTGTAACTGTAATGTAATGCATTAGGTGGGGTCCTGGCTGGTTTTTGTTTGAACTCTGATGGACTAGAAACGATGGCTGTCATCATATCGTCGTCTTGGTTACCGTGATTTTTGTTGTGGGCAGAGAAAAAGGCTGCACATGACAGAGCCAGCGAGCTCCGGACAAGATTTTGGGTCCTGGAGTTCATACTTCATAGGAACTAGCTGGACCCCAATTGGCTTCATCAAACTGTTACGATTCTCATTTGTTTTGGTTGTGGATTAAAATCTGGTTCAAGCTCGGTTTCAATTCAAAGATACGCATTTTTTATTTCGAGCTCGAGCTTGAAGTTTGGCTTGTTGCATTAGCCGGACTCTAATTCCTACTCGAATATCTTTACTTTACAAATTAAAAGTTTGCAAATTCTGATAACTTTTTAAAATTCATTTAATGAACCAATGAATTTTGAACCCTGTATTATACAATATGAGGAGAGCATCAACATCAAATATTCCAGCTTTAGGAAATAAGTACTACTCGAATTGTATTGTGGCATATTTGTTGTTCCTTTGTTTTGGATGGGGGATGCTTCCATTGGCTGTCGAGTTGCTTGTTATTTGCTCCATTTGATTTGAATCTGTTGGATACAGGTTGTTACACATCCTACCACCATACAATTTTCTCCAAAAGAATTTTTTTTTTTAAATTATACCATATTAAAAGATAAAGTTGGATTTAGTGATTTTTTTTCTCTTTCTAACATTACCCTCGTTAAAAAAATCGGAGTCGAATCTGACTTAAATAAATTTCCCTTTAAAAATGAAACTGCCTTAGGTTCCATCCACCTTATTTGCTTGATTGCATGAGACCACCATGTTTACCGAAGACGCAACCCCAATTTTTTAACGAAGTTTTTTCCCCATCTTTAGGTACTTTGACTCATTTGTTGGTGGTTTTTGAAGTTTTTTTTTTTGGGTGTGTTTGTGTTGGGGATAGAGAAAAAGGAGGAAGCCTAAACTCTGAGATACAAGAAGGTGACCAGTGTAGTAATAGCATTACATGCTGAAAAGTAGATAATTAGATAACTATTTGTGTGATCAGGAAGAGTATGATGTTCAAATGCAAATAGAACAAACTATATCTACTTGCTTCTTTGGATGATCTGTTATATGGCCTTAGGCAGAGAATGGAGGTAAACTTTGAACACCAATGTATCTTCTTTTTTCAGAAGTTAAGATAATCATAGTTACGCTCGAAGAGAAGTTGATTCTAGTTCAACGAAACTTGGAACCTTCATTTCAACTTTCGACTATAGGTAAATATGTTCATGTTCACTGCATACGCTCCTCTTGCCTTGAATAAGTTTCATTACTTGCTCTTCAGGGTGCTAAGGGAAGAAAACAAGCTTCTGTATTTCCCATTGTAAGGGAATAGTCCATGTTATGCCAGTAAATGTATAGGAAATTCTCCCGGTCTGTTTTGATCGTTGCCTACACAGTAATACTCCATACCCACTAATTTCTGATGCCCTACATTCCATGGTTCTCGTGTATCAGATGTACAAGTTTTATAATCTTCTATTGAGAAAGATAAATTTTAGTCATGGCGTTTGCTTTTCTGCCAAAATGAAGTTTCTTCCTCTAAATTTCTATTGTCAAATGCGCCTGTTCCGATCAAATGCTTTTGGTTTGCTCCTTGCTGACTATACTGCTTGAAAAAGCACCCAAAACAGGTGCAACCAACTAATACAACATCAAACCTCCAAGGAGCAGGTTCTTAAAGAATTTCATCATGGTAATTCTTGTAAACTGTAAAAGAGAAAGAGGATGCAAATGCAAGAGTTCTATCTGATGATTTCTTTTGTTATTCTCTGTTAATTTGTCTTGTTGCTTCTACTTCCTCTTGCTCTTTGCTTCACCTCTGCTACTGCCATTCCCGTTGACTTCATCTTTCCATTTACTACCAGTTTTTCCATACCAAAAGAAAGCTTTTACTACTTTTAACATTGGGCTTTTTTTTTTGGTTGGCTATTAATGATTGAGCAGATGAAGAAGTTTTATCAGTCAAGAAAGAGCCAACAAATAGTAATGGTTGTCGTTCAAGGTTACCAAGTTCCTCTTTATGGTGGAGTGCCAGTTTTGAGCGGAGCCAAGGGTCACCTTGAGAGTGCATCAGTGCCCCTTAACCTGACTTTCAAAATGAGGTCAAGGGCTTATGTTTTGGGAAGGCTGGTGAAGCCAAAGTTTTACAGAAGCATCGTATGTGCTGTAACTCTGAGAGGCAATCATCTTGGAAAGCCTGTTAATCTTACAAATTCCGATAAGTGTGTTTACAAATAGGTGATTGGGCTTATGTTTTTCAATTATTTCTTTTGGGGATTGATTGACAAATTAGTAGAGCATAGATCTGCTTTTCTCAGTTTTCGCTGGAATGTATATGCATCGACTCTACTGACGAAGGATACCTTTATATCAGAGGAATTGGTGACCTTACTTCAGTCTTGTAGTACATGTTTTGACATTAAGTTTAAATCAATTCTTTTGGTGCTGCCATTGTTACTGCAAGTTGCTACTATACTTAGCGACGTCTCCTGCTTGAGGTCAGCTATTTTAGGATTTACTAAAGCATTCTTGTGATTAAATATTTTCGTTCTCAAATAATACTTCTTTATGAGATTTACCAAGATGTGGTGGAAACTTGAATCGACTGATGCTGGTCTGAACTGTGTCTTATTGCTAATCTGTCATATTTCAGATATTGTCATTTTCCTGGCACAGAATGGGAATCATAGATTATGGCAGAGTTCGTTGCCGGACCCTCCTTAGTTCTCTTTCTCTTTCGGCTCAACATCCGTCTTGTGGTGTCCAGGCAGCCTTGCCTTTATTTTTTCCAAAATACCTTTCTTTTCTTTCATCTCACCGCCTGGAGTATGTTCTTGGTTAGCAGGAGTTGCAGTTACCTCTTCAGTCTTCTTGTGCTGGGGGGAAAGCTTTTCTTTGATCTTCTCCAGAAATCCTTTTGTTCTCTTCTGAGTTGGTTGTTTCTCCATTTTCTTCCTCTGTATAGCCTTCCTCCATGGCAATAAATGTATCCTTCGGATTGGTGCAATCCTCTTCCGTCGTGCGTGATATTTTTTCTTTGATCTTGTCTTTTAGGCCCTTCTTCTTCCTCTTTTTCGTTTCACCATCTTCTTCCACTTCCTCATCAGAAGACTGAGAATGAACACCAGATTTTTAGTGATATACAAGCAAACAGAAGACTAGGATTGACACAACGGACTGTTAAAAACTTGATTAATGACTCTATTCACATTGGTGTAATACCAGACACAGTCAAATATTCATCAGTAGTTGAATTGCTTATCTCAACCACTGGTAACATGTTACTTGAGATTTCAGGAAAGAAAATGAACGCATATTTAGCTTCATTGAGGTCTGTTTCCTTGCGCTTGTCTACCATCTCAAGATGGACCACAGGTACCTCCTCATGGGCTTTCTCTCCCTTCTTTCCCATGAAATCAGTTAATTTGCAGTCGTCTGTTTCTGAGAGAGGCATTGTGGTATTGCTGTAGCCACGGTGTTGGGGGCCCTGTTGTTCCTCCATAATCAAGACGAAGAATTTGGAACTGTTTTAGGAATTTGGTTATGCCATGGTAAAGATTGGCACTATATAGTAGAGGTAAAGGCAACACAACACAGCAATTTTAAGTTGTTAAAGCTGTTCTCGGAGGCAGCAGAATAGAAAAAACAAGGTTTAAAACATAATTAATGTGTTACTCCATGACATCTATTTGTGTGTTTTGCATTAAAACATAGGTAAATTTGTTTTCAGTGGGCTTCTGTTCCGGAAAGAAGGCTACTAGTTTTGTATGAAACGAGTTTCCTTGGATAATGTTAATGGTGAGTACTGATAACCTTGGACGACTGTGCAAGAATAGGGACAGAGTATTGAAGAAAGGCCCATTGTCCGTGGGGAGTTTAGCAAACCAAGAATGGTCAGTTGGGACAGACAGCCGATGGCTTGCACAAATTGAGGAGCTTTGTGTTTGAGAGCTTTGGCTGGGGTTCTGAGGCCATGCTTGGACGATGTGAAGTAGCATTTCAAGTGGTTACTTTATAGAAATGACATTTACTAATGCCCTCCTGGGACTAGGAGCAGCTCAATAATCAAGGGAAAGTGGTAAAGTATTATTTTGTGCAGATTTTGGTGTGACATCAAGCTGAGAATCAGGTGGTGACACTGAGTTCCAAATCATGCAACATTCGCGTTCTTATCCTGTTTTTGTCACTGGACTCTTGAAATGGTAGAGGTTGGATGGATGCCCTTTCACTTGGGATACTATTGTTTATACTTGTAAAAATATCCTGGCTGAACCTACACCAACGGGCATAATGCATGATGTGAAGTAGAACTATGCCTATGCCAAATGGAAATGATGTCAAGTAGAACTGTGCCAGTCATGCAAGATGGAGACGATGCAACGTGTACGAGGTGTTATATGCCAAATTTTGAATTACGAATGGTAATTGGGAAAATCCCACCCGCAGCGAAAAGAATTCAAGGGTGGTGCTATAGTACCCCTTTGGTTTAGTCAGGTTCGTATACCTGCTAGCTCCTAACTCAAGCCTCTTTAAGCTTCCCCTCCTCTATAGACTAGGATAGATTAGGTTGTGCAATTGTTATCGTTGCTGGAAAAAAAATGGTAATTGGGAAAATGGGGCTTAGATGTGGCAGTCGTCTTTCTTTAAGCTGTGATTTCTGATGAGCCTTTCCGTAAATTAGTAGAGCCAATTCCTTGGCAAAGTTTTCGAGGTTAAAGATATTATCGACACCCCGTAGTTGATAGCCGGCAACCTTTTGAAGCAATGACAAAAGTATACTTGTATCTCGATACCAGTACATATAAGCATCATTCACATACAAAGTCATGCACTGACACCAGCACTCGATCTTAGGATGTTTTCAGCGGTTGTTTAGTTGCTAAATAACTCCATTGAGAAGAGGTAATTGATGGTGTCAATGGGGCTTAAAGAAATTGGCATCCAAACCGTCGGCCACTAAACTCCACAATGCAGCAGCTGCTAACAAAAAACTCATTACAAGGCCTAAAGAACCAAGGCCAAAATTTAGACACCACATTGAACTCAAGACTTTGGGTTTCTTAATGGCAAGCCACATGAAACAGGGATAAGCCAGAGTCAAGGGGAGCGTGATTGCACCAATGAAAGGCCCCAGACTTCCGAGGAAGGGAAAGGCCATGGCTATGAAATATGTCAATCCTCCGAAGAAGACTCTTATGGCTGAGCGAACCCATCTGGGGCATGCCTGGTTTTTCTTGCTAACGTATATGCGCTCCAAGTTGTCGAAAACTGGCATTCCATAGATTTGGAATGCGCTGAATAAGTGCACTAGCATAATCACGTATACCGTGGCCATCACAGATTTTGACGTCCTCTGGTGTTTCAGTGATGAAGAGAGTGCATTTAGGATCCCCTTTGCCGGCATCTGCCATTGTGTTTAGACCAGGTCACCCAAGTTTAGTACTCGTGAATATAATAAAGTTTTCTTCTTTTTTTTTCCTCGTATCGTCGAATAATAATTGGGTCTAAGAATCTAAAATGGGAGATCAATGGAGTGAAGAATTTAAATAATACAACTGAGTAGTAGAAGTTACCATATTCCCATAAGCCCAATATCCTCCTATTGCCAGGGGAAAAAGTAACACTGCAATTAGTAAATACGATGCAGTCACTCCTCTCCACATCCCATGACGAGATGGATGTTGTGGATCCGTGGGTATGGTTCCCTGTCGTTGTGTCATAAGCATCAGAAACTGCCTCTTTGTGAATTAAAGTCCATCAGACTTTTGGTTGAATTACATACAGCAGGAGCAGTATGAACTTAAAATGTAATCAAATAGGAGAGCAGATCATCTGTCCAATATTTTGTGCCCAATTTCCTGTCCAATGTGAAACTATGTAGTTTCATTTATAATATCTGCTGATATGACAACTAAAAATAGGTAGCGGTTCGACTGCCTTATACTTCTTTTTCTTTCTTCTTTTTTGGATTTCCTTTGTTTATACAACTTTATTACAATTCTCATCTTTTTTAAAACAAAGTATCAAGAATTTCAAATACAAAAGAATATTTAAAAAAGATGGGAATTGTAACAAAGTTGTGTAAACAAAGGAAATCCAAAAAATAAAAAAATAAAAAAAAATATAAGTCAGCCAAACAGCCACCTATTTTTAATTGCCACATCAGCAGATATAATAAGTGAAACTACGTAATTTCACATTGGACGGGAAATTGGACACAAAAAAGGATTTGCTCTCATCAAATAGGATGCAACATTCTTGCACTCGCATAACATGTAAAAGTGGGGAGCCTAATGCATCAGTCTTTACCTGTATTTCAAGGATTAGATTGTGACCTTTGAAAGTGAGAGCAATAATCCCAAGAGCATTGATGATACCGCGAATTCGAGACCTTTCTGATGCAGCTGCTTTAGATGGTTCATATGAAACACCTCCGGGCCTACCTTCTCTGATGGAAAGAGTCCATAGCATGGTAAAATATGTCGCAAGTGCCATTGATCCGATCAGCGAGACCGGAGCTAAGGAGTGCAAGCTGGGAAAGAATTGGGACACCAAAATGGCCAAGCATACGAATACAAAAAAGAACCATGCTGCCCCAGTTAATACTGTATCTGAGCTGCATTTCGGGTCATCTCCGCATATGAGTTTATACAAAAGCTCCATGATCCCTCCCCCTGTGATTATGATCACCACGCAAGTACCACCCGAGAGATACATGGTTGGAAATATCGCAAGCAGCTTCCCCAGTTTTGGACCTGATCAAGAGATGAGGAACTCTTGTTTATGTCAGTGTTTTCGTTCTGATTTGGTGCCATGCTCCCCTAGGGACTACTATCCTCTGCTTGTTTTACAATTGTTCGAGGCATAGAAATATCAATCAATTGGGTAAATTTTGTGATGTTTATATGGCGTGTGGTCATTTCTAACATCTTTCTTCAATTCAAGATCTTATCGTACTATATCTATTTTACGGGATGTCCTTTACACAGGTCCCTGCACTCGAGGACATATTTAAGGAGCAGGCATGCATGGCTCGCTTGGCTGGAATGGGAAATTAATTGGATTAATCAATGTTTTGGGTCTTTGAAGACTAACCAAATGCTATAATTGAGAGGACGACGTATCTGCTGCAGCGAGTTCCGGCGGCTCCTGCCGGACCTGGTTCGTGAAGATGGACCAGAAGCCATGTGGTGTAGAGCTGCCATGCGAAGACTAGTGTCAAACACAGCGTTCCCCACACCCTGCACCCAATCCAGACACAAACAAAATTCGTAATCATAAATGCAACACTAGTTTTCTGTACTAAAATTGTAATTACTGATATGAGGTGTCAAAATGGATCGGGTTATAATTGAATCAACTTATTTATATCTAATAATTAAATATATGGGTATCCATAGGCCTGTCAATCGGGCCAAGTGAGCCGGGCTTTGATGAACCCAAGCTCAACTCATTTAATTTGAAACAATTTCGGGCTTCGGGCTATGAGTTTCGGATTCGTAAATGTGAAGCTCATACTCAGCTCACATAACATTCGGGTTGTGAGCCTTAATCGGGCTTAGCCCAAGCTCACTTATTACTTCTTAATTTTCTTAATATAATTACTATAACTATTAAGTTGTAAAACTAATTTAACATTTACAAGACTATAATATTAAAATTAAACATGAACAAATAATATTTCTTAAAAAGTACGTAAACCAAAAATTTTTTCAACAATATTTATATTTAATCCATTCAAAATGCATGAAAAATAGTAATAAAACATGTAATCATAAGCCAATACATCTTTAAAAGTTGAAACTTTTTTTATAATCTTGTGATTTAAATCCAAATATGCTTGATGATTTTTGTGTTTGTAGACAAAAAAAAAATCAACCAATATTATGCCAATACAAAAATTTACTCAATCAATAAGAAAAATTAGAGATTTAGTTGTGCATTACTAATATTCGCTCTAAAGAAATCTCATGAAAGAATCTTTAGATATATTTTTGTGTTTTGTAATTTATATGTATATTTAGTATTTAGTAATAATATATTTGGATATATAATTATACATAATATCAAAATATAAATATTATATATATAGCTAATTAAAGGGCCGGGCCTATATCGGGTTTGAGCCTAATAAGGCCCAAGCTCGGCTCATATTTAATTCGGGCCTAACTTTTAGGCTCAAGCTCAGACCGGCTCACTAAATGATCGGGCTCATCGGGCTTTCTGTCGGGCCGAACGAGCCGAGCTCGGGCTGGCCCAGCCCCATTGACAGTCCTAGGTATCCATTCATTTATACCCATTTAATAAATAAGTATAAGTATATTCAATTGCCCATTTATAAGTCACTTAAAGTTCTATTTAAATTTTTATTTTTTGTATGTTGTTTAACAAGAAATAACATTATTTTATTGTTATTAGATTGGTAAAAAAAATTCAAATTTATTTGCTTAACACTCACCAAAAGTTGAGTTCTAATATATAATTATTTTTAAACGATGATAA